TTGGAGTCCTCCGTCACTGAAGCAAGCAAGCCTCATGTTAGTTTCAAGCTGCCTGGCTGCTGGCCGCCATCTTGGCTGACAGTTAATTTGCATATCTCACTGATTAGCCAATGGGAAGGGTAGCAGTTGTACGCCAATTACCATGTTTCTCTTTTATTAGTGTAGATTATGGTCTTCCTACAAATCTGATTAACAAAATGGCTTCTTGTGCTGGTTACTTTAGATGATAGATGGGTGACTGGAGGTTTCCTGGGTTGGTTGCTTCAGGGTGTGGGTCACATTTCTATTTTTATATTTAGTCTGGTCAATGCATATTCAATCTCTCATCAGCCAATTACTTTGGGGCCCACTCTAAATCTAAGACAATCTCATTTTGAGATCCTTAAACTGCAACGACCCTTTTCCAAATAAGATCACATTCACAGTTTCTGGGGATTAGGACATGAACATATTTTGGGGGAGCACCTTTGAACCCATTACAAGCTCCTCTTCTTTTAGAAGTCATGCTTGATTATTTATAGAGTTAAAAAAGACCTTTCCCCTTACTCTCCTGAATGAGACAAGCAGGTAGGTTATGACTACATTTCACCAAAGAGCTATAATTTTTCAAACAATAGCCTAGATATCTGTTAAAGCCTAGATTCAAGGTACACACCAGTTCTTGTATGTCTGCTTCCCAAAACAAGATGTTTTTGTAGTCCAGTATTATCAGTACATTCAGAGAAATCTCATCTTTGGTAGAGAGTTATAAGCAACATGGGTAATGTATAAATATTGTCTATGATAAGATATTAAGGAATACTACAAATCCTCTGGTTTCTTTCTGTTTTCAGTACTCTGAAACTTTAATCTCATTTCCTAGTCAAAGAAGAGAATAATCCCATTTCAGTGGATTCTAAGACATTGATATATAACAGGTATGCAATTTTTTAAAAAATGATTCAATTAATTCCTTTTGGATGACTCTGATGATGTTATAATTTCTTGAAAATATGAGGTTGAAAAGACGTACAATCTTTTTTACCTGAAGTATGTAGTATTGATTATTACGCATTTGTGCAGTATGTCACATTTTCCCCCTTATGCCTCTTTATTTGTTGAAATTGATCTGTGCTGATCTTATTTTATCATGCGCATTATAAAAATAAACCATACTAATAAATTCCTTCGATACCAGGAACAGCTTTTATCTCATCTTTCCCCAGATTAATTTTTGTAGTTTACCTAGTCGAACGTCAGCCCTAATATTAAACTCCCCCTCCACTTAGAAAACAAAAACAATTCACACTTATGTGAAAATTATCTACACAATTTTTCTTTGCTTGTTTTTTAATAAAATATCCAGTCTAAAAGGGGTAGGGTGAAATTACAAATTTAACTACTTACACTACCCAGTAGGTTCACACACCAGCCTTTTTCATTCAAAATGGAAAATGGTGCCTATGTGACATGGGAGCACACGTACAATTGCCTCTTCTTAGTTCTTCTGGCCAGAAGCTCTCAAAAGCCCCAGTGGAGTTTGACAGACTTGCTTTATTTTGCTCATTAACTTGGAGGGACGTACCAGATGATGAGTTTACAAAAGCTGGAACAATAGCCTTTTAAAATATCCTCCCAAGGTCCAAGTATAGGAGCTTATCTCATAAATTCAAATTAGATCATTTACAAATCATGCTAATCATAGTACTTTATTAAATATTAAGTACCTAGTAAATGTTAATTTGGACTCTAATTGCTTCAAATTCCATCCTTCCTACTTTGATATGTGACCTTTGGCATATTTCCTAATTTATCCAAGTTGTAGTTTTCTCATCTACAAAATATAGGTAGAAATAAAACCTAGTTTGTCGGATCACTCTGAGGGGGAAAAAAAGATATTCCATGTAAAAGCACTTAAAAGAGTGCTGAGTACTATAGTTAATACAGAATGGTTGATTATTACAGTGTTTCCATTGCATTGTTTTCTGTAAAGCTTTTTTAGTTGAAACTTTTTTTAAACGATTTTGTTTTATATTTAATTTTTGGATAGTTAACTATCAAGTAAGTTAGGTCTTGTTTGTTTATTTTGGAATCAATCACTTAATTCATCTTTGTATTCCCCATGATGCCTTACATAAAATATTCATCCACATATGTGGTTTCAATGAGAGAGTAATTGATGCCATCCTAGTTAGTCTCTAAACTCTTGTTTTAATTGATTTATACTATTATAGTGATTTATCAATAGATGGCAGTAGTTTGTTTTCATTTTTATATTTTGTCTAGTCTACAATAGAAATCCAGAAAAGAACTAAAACTTTTCCTATTTTAAAGCAGATGTTTTTTCATGAATAGTTGGTTTAAATAAATATCACCCCAAGAGTTCTTCAATTTATGTTGCTTTAATTTTGTTAAAAAAATATTTTTATTGATTTCAGAGAGGGAGAGAGAGATAGAAATATCAATGATGGGAGAGAATCACTGATCGGCTGCCTCCTGCATGCCCCCTATTAGGGATCAAGCCCTCAACCCAGGCATGTGCCCTTGACCGAAATCAAACCCGGGACAGCTCAGTCCTCAGCTCTATCCACTGAATCAAACCAGCTAGGACAATTTATGTTGCTTTTGAAATATAGATCAAGAAGTACCTGTTTTCTGTCTTACTCTATACTCTTATAAATCAAAATTTAATAAATATATTAAAAAAATTGCGCGCGCGTGAGAGAGAGAGAGAGAGAGAGAGAGAGAGAAATCATATCTACCTAGCAAGATCAAGAAAACTTCTTAAAGAAGAGGCCATCTACAGAGAGCTGAAAGATTGGTTGCAATGTTGACATGATCAGAACAGGATTTTAGGAGCATTATCAGTAGTATTGAACTGGAATGGAGATAGAGTACAGTTAGATACCTATTATGTGTAAGGTATTGTTCTGGGTCTCTGCCCTCATGGAGCTTATGTTAGTAAATGAAGGAAGAAAAGAAGTAAATGTATAAGATATCAGTGGTAATAAATGCTATTAAGGAAAAAGCAAGTCAGAGTAAGGAAATGGAGGATAAAGGAGGGAAGGTAATGCTTTAGAGAGGGTTATCAAGGAAGACTTCTCTACTAAGATAGTATTTGGAAGTGGTAAGGAATGATTGGATTCCAATGTAATTTAAAGATGGAAACAATGAGTCTGCCAAAAAAGTTACATGCTGCTTGTAAGAGAAAGAAAAGAGTTAAGATTTTGGCTCATTCTTTGGGTAAAACAAATGTGGCAGTAATCATTGGCCACTTACTTAGGGAGGATTTCTGAAAGGACCTATGATCAACAATGAGCTCTTATTTATGACTAGAAGCCCGATGTATAAAATTTGTGCAAGAGTAGGCCTTCCTTCCCCCAGCTGCTGGCACCGGCTTCCCTCTGGCACCCAGGACCTGGGCAGGCTTCCCTCCGGCCACCTACAGGCACCCGGGCCCCAGGCTGCCTTCCCTCCGGGCCCGGCTTTGTCCAGAAGGATGCCTGGATGGACATCCGGAAGGGTGTCCGGTCTAATTAGCATATTATCCTTTTATTATTATAGATTATCTTAAGCAAGTCTGATTCAGTTGCCCTGGGCTCTACCCTCTTCTAGAGACCTCCCTAGTAATATCTCCAAGTTTTTGGGCCTGAACAAGAAAAATGAACTTATAATTTACTGAAATGGAGAAGACTAAAGAAGCAGATTTTGTGGTGGTGATAGATAGCAGTTGACAGAGAAATCAGGAGTTCACTTTGGAACTTTTAAGTTAAAATGACTATAAGAAATCCAAATGGAGATATCAGGTAGGCAGTTTGGTATCAGTCTAGAACTTAAGAGGGATGTTCAGGTTAGAAATATAAATTTGGGAGTTATTAGCCTTTAAATGGATTTTAAAACCATGGAACTGGATGGCATCACCTGCAGATTGAGTATATGGAAAAGCAGAGACCTGTGGATTGAGCACTGGAGCACTCTAACATAAATGAGAAAGATAAGGAGGAACCAGCAAAGGAAATCAAAAGTATGGTGTCTCAAGAAGAAGGACATGATCAAATGTATCAAATGATGCAGATAGGTCAAGAAAGAAGAGGACTGAACTTGTACATTGACTGTGGCAACATATAGGTCACAGATACTTTGTTAAGAACTTGTTTTAAAAACTAGGGGTGAAGAGAGTTCCAACAATCTCTCATCAGGAAATTGGGCTATCTATTTTGGTGTTCTATAAATTTAGGGCTTGAATCACATTTTCAGCTGGCAGCTTTGAAAACAGAATTATTCTACAAAGTATAATTGTCACCATTAAAAATGAAAGTATAAGACTGAATGACATTAGGAGAGATAATGTGTTTTTCCATTTGTGTGGAACTTCACCATGGGCAAGAGACAATTTCTGAGAAGTTTATATTTGGTTTTAGATGATGAGGAGGAGGGAAAAGTGAAATCTGTCAAAAATATAAGTCAACAGGTCTTTGACAGTTATGCACCCTAAAACCCATTTGCATTATGTATAAATATATATATATCTCGATATATATATATAGTACTTGGAAATGAGTAATCTAGTAATCTTCAGGGTAGGAGCAAAAAATTGTAGTAAAGAAGGGAAGTCTGCCAAATATCTAGCCTGAGGAGTTTGTAGTGATGAAACAGAGAATGAAGAGTGAAAGGAGAGGCAAAAGAGGAACTGTGCTGGACAGGAGACTGGGAAAGATATAGAAGCCACACTGCTCTGCTGGTTCCTGGTGCCCTGAGTCCCAGGGGGCCAGGCAGTATAGGTGGGACTCACTACAGTGACCTTGCAGTGAAATCTACCATAATTGATGTTGACATCTATGCTAATAGCATTGGTCCTGAGTCATCAATAAACATGAGTGGATTCCAACATGGTGGCCGAGTAAGTGGAAGCTATACTGACACCCTCCCAGGACCAAACTGGAATTAAACTAAAACACAGAAAAAACATCCTGAATAACCAACTGAAGATTAGATGGAGAGAACCCTGATAACCAAGGATGGAAAGTGAAGACCACATAGAAACTGAGAAGAAGTGAGAAGGTGTGAAAGGGCTGGTCAGGCTCCCACAGACAGCAGCTGAAGTTCTGGAGGGATATCAGCTTATGGGAGGTTCCCACTGAGAACTCTGGGGTCTAAACTCCAAGCTGGGTTCCCTAGCCCAGAGCACCAGACTGAGAAAGAGGCCCATAAAACATCTGGCTGTGAAAAGCAGCAGGGCTGCTGTCTGCCAGGGAGAAACAGCTGGAAATGCAGGCAACACTTAACCCATTGTATGCCATAAGCATCTGTAGATGTAAGCGGAGGACCTTCCCCATATGCCACACACATCTATAAAAAAAAGTTTTCCCTAAGGGGTAGCCCTGACCAACTTTAAAATCATTTTTTTGTGAGAATTTTCAGCTGAAAATATTCAAGAACACCCGAATTGTGAGTAATATATTTATTTTTATAATCACTGCAAATTGATTTTTTTAATTAAATTCAAAATATCATGGCATGTGGGGATGGTTTCCATTTTGGATGTATGTTAACTGGTTAAAGGGCCAATAGACAAAATTGCATATACAGCCACTCACCTTGGGATCCAGCAGAGGGAGGGCAGAGTGGACTGGAGCTGTGTCAATGGAAGCTAGGATTAGGGGCTCTGGGGTTGGGACCTTGGAAGCCAGACACCCTGGTTTCATGTGCTGAGTCATTCCCTCATACTGTAGAGCAGTGATCACCAACCTTCCAGACCTCATGGACCACCAGTGGTCCACAGACCATTGGTTGATGACCACTGCTGTAGAGGACAACTTTCTCTGGTAGACTTTTGCTAGCCAGGCAGTTTTTGCCTGGGGGGAAAGGCAGTTGTCCCACCCTATTGGAAAACCTCTTACCCCACCCTGTGGAGTTTTTGAGGCCCATTAAAAGATTG